CTCTGCAGCACCTGTCCCATAGGGCCCTGCAGCCCCATGAGCACCAATGCTCAGCATCTCAGGACAGGGGAAGGAGGAGGAGAGGTGCACACACAGGTACTGCCAGCAGGGCCCACTGAAAGATGATTATGTGGCTTGGTGGTTCAGAAACTTTCTGGGCAGAGAAACGTAATGCTGGCAAATGCTTCTGGAAGAGTGGTAAGGCCAATAGTTTGGAACCAAGTCTGGTGTGCTCTGTCTTCTGGTGTTTCTGGGCTTGACGTATACCAGTTAAAGCAGCACTACCAGGAAATACACATAGGGAGTTGTTTGCCTTATCTTTTCCTTCCTTTCCCCTCACTTGTATCCCAATCCTGATAAAAATGAGCAGAAACTGAAATGGAAATATATTTCTGAGTTGCTTTTTCAAGTCAGCAGACAAAATAAAAAGATCCTCATTGAAGAAAATCATAGTTTTTGACAAACTAGCCAGCTGCAAGAATCAATCTGCCAGCATCTTAGGAATGAGGACTGCTCATTTGTAGGTGTCACATAAAAGGCTGCTACTTTATTGTTGTTGACTTACTTTTTCCCTTTCCATTGCCTGTCCTTCAAAGAGACTTGCTGGACCTCTCAGAGCAGTTGTTATGTGGTGGTGTACACCAAACACCATGTGGAAGAAGATGGCCCTAAATGGTGGGGCTTTCCCCAAACCACAGCCCTCTCTACCACTTGAGGTGACAACCAGCTGCCATCCTTTGATGTGGTGGGTTTGTTTCATTGTAGGCTTCTTGTTATTAAAAAGTAACAAAACTTCTAACAGATAAACATATGAGATCATCAACCCTCCCATTAATTAAAAGGCAGTGTTTCAATACAAGTAACAATTAACTTAAGTGGAAAAGGGATACAAACCTTGTAGTACAGGCTATGAGGACTGAGCACAGCAGGGAAGCCTTTGGTGCCAGAAGGTAAGATTAGTCACCTGGGAAATCCTGAGAGCACCCTTAAACAGCAAGACTTAAACAGCCTGTCTGCAGCTGGAAAACAAAGGATGTCCTTTGGTGTAAGCCAGTGTTTGTATCCAAATCCACAGATTCTGCTGATGACTTGCTGTAGGCTTGCCTTTGACAGCTCGCTTCGTGGGCCTGTAGCTCAATTTCTGTGATTACAACATCAAACACAAAAAGAAGGCCCTGGATTCAGAAAAAAAATGGTTTGGCAGAGTCACTTCAGGAGAGTGATGCAGTGGCTCATCACTCTTTTTGCTGGAGCTGTGCTCTCAGCAAGGAGGAGGTGAAGACATTGAGAGGGGACAAAGCCCAGCCATGCCGGAATGTGGATGATACCATGGACAAGATGTTGCTGCCTGCTCCCAGGCAGTTTGAGATACAGAGTCAAGGTTCCAGACTGCCTGTCCACAGGAAGCCCCACATCACTGGGCTCCAGGCACTGCACGGAGACCTGTGGGCTGAACTGAAGTAATGCTGTGGAGGGAACAGCAAAACCCTCCAAAACTCCTGAGTGTGTCAGTGAGCCTTCCCCACCATGACTGCACGTCATGGCGTCTCACTTTTCCAGTCATTCCATTGGTTTACCTCTTTGAGTGCCTGTGTCACTGTTAACACTGTTAAGATCTACTATACTGCAGCAATGAAATAGATTACTGGAAATATTTTTAGCTAACCTGGACTCTGGTAGTAGTCTTATTGCTACTTTTGTGTCACATAATTGAATCTCAAAAGCACAGAGCTCTTCCTAGCACTGCCCTGCAGGAAGGACATCTAGAATGCCTGCAAATCTGATAATTGAAAGATTTTATGCATATTCATCTTTGAATTTTGCTTAGATGTAAATTTGGATGGACATATCATTTATCTACCTCTAACCTAAAATACTCCAGGGTGATTGTTCAGCTTGTAAAATATTTAGATGCACACACCCACGCATGGCCCAATTTTCCAAACTAGTTTTGTATAGCTGTATGCCTAATTTGTTTGTGCAGCTTCTGTGATTGAATGTTCAGCTAGCAAATGGACATGCAAATGCTTAGATCTGTAGATACCCAACTCGCTCTTTCCTCATTTTTAGTTGTAAACTAGATAAATGTTAAATACTGTCTCTTGTCAGACTCCAAGCAGACAGCAGTCTCTGCTGTATTCTAAAAAAAAAAGTGGGCCCAGGAAGAACAAATTCCAGTGATACCACCACTAAATGCATTAAGCCTAAAATAAGGAGTTCTATAAATACACATACTAAAGCTGTAAGTGGGAACTATTCATAGTGGATGGTCACATTCTTAACCCTTCTCCGTGTCACTTGTCAGATAACTACTAGAATTCCCAAGTTGCATTTAGAAGTGCTGCATTATAGTCCAAAAACATTTGAAAATAAATCTGTGTTTACTGCAAAGAGGAAATTCTGAATTTTATTTACTCCCTAATGCAAAACAAAAACTAAAGTTAATGAGCACATTCCTTGAGTACTGGTTATATTAAACTTTACAAGGGTTTTATGCAGTACTGTACATAACTCCTAGGGACTAGCTTAGGGAAGTTTTAAACTTGCATTATAGGGACAGATAAAAATAATGTCATAAATACAGTGCATATATAGCCTATATAAAATAATATGGTATTTATGCATCAGTCAGCATTATGATTCATGTTAAACTATAGTGTGAACACTACTCCACTGTAATACAGCTATTACCTGTGAGAGATGCTGTGCCTTACAATGCGCTGTTGTTCCCCTCAGTGCTTAAGAAGCACAGTTTTCAAAATTGCTCTCTGTAATTTCGTAGACGTCATCCACATGGAATTTCTGCTCTAATGTTCACCTTAATCTCTTCAAATTGAATTTCTTCCAGTTGCATGAAGTGTATATCTTGGAGGAATCCCCTCCCTCTCCTTGACATTTTGTTTGCCCTCCTCAGTGGTGGGAGTGGTAGAGACGCAATGCTGTATTTTATGAGGGCACAGAAATGTCAGCAGGAAGTATGCTCCACTTCCCTTCTGAAAAATCACCTCATGTTTTCCTTACTGACAACCCAATCTGAGTAAGGCAAGCCTTACTCAGAAAGAGCTGCGATTTGTTTCACCCCAAGAAGACAGCAAGTGGAGGAAGCCATGGGCCATGTCTGCTATGCTATGGTGTTAAGTGATGATACGTTTACAGATGGAAGCAAGGTTTGTTTTTAAATAAAGCTACCTCTGTTAACGAGATCTGCACAAGCTACAGAATGTGAAGGCCAGTGATTGACTCATTTCCTGAGCCTGGTCCCTGTCACTGTGACTCAGGTGGTGAGTCTCACCCCGGGTGTTGCATTCTTGCTGGGGACCCACACCACACCACGTGGGGCATGAGTGCCTCCCCTCATGAGACTCTGAGTCTCAGGGTGAGCTGAAGCTGGGGCAGAGACAGTGGGAGATCCAACTCTGCAGGGAGGGGAGATAAGGCCTGTGTTCAGCATGGTTGCCAACTCACCAGGGATGAAACTGAAGCACGTTGCAGTTCTTTGATTTTGCTGTATACAATGAGCCCTCCTAGCATCTTCAGGAGAAATCACTTCCAAACCCCACAGAGAAGAAGAAGAGCCACTTTCCTTTCTTGTCTACCAGCAGGAAGCTGGCTTTGTTGCTCTAAACACTAAGAAAAATCACTCTCAGGAGCAACAAACTTGAAAAAGGGAATCCCTTCTATTTTAAAGGTTGGCTTTGGATCGAGAGGGATTGCAGCTCCATGCCTCTCTCTCATTGTTAGCTGTGGAGGGGGAGCTTGCTCTGTGTCATGGTTTGAGATAGCCCCAACATCCAATTCCCTAGCTCCATTCCCCCCCCTCCCACATCTCAACCTAATGTGAGAGAGGTTTTTCCAGACAAAACACACCAGACTCCAAAGTGGGGGAAAGGGAATATATTACAATGACTGTACAAATAAATATAACATCACATTATACACATGATCATAACTATCTCTACCATGACGTATAGTATTTACAATGGATCAGATCTCTTCTCCCCTCCAAATAAAAGTCCAGGAGGGAAAGAAGGACAGATCCCTTCCAGTCTCTGAACAGCAGCATCTTCTGAGGCAGCAGGTTTCTTCTTCTCATGCATGCAGCAGCTGATAGCTGGCTTTCTGCCAGCGTCCACGAGGGAGGTATTCAAGCTCCCCCGGCCCCATCGCCTCACAACCGAGGGGTCTTCCGTGGACTTCGTAACCCCAGACAAGGTCGTTTCACCACGTCATATCACGAAGACACAGGGGAGTCTTCGTGACGGTCTGGTATCTCTTGCAGGGCCTCTGTGCCCTGTCTCTCAGGCTGCCACCGTGGCAGCAGTGCGAGGGGGGGGAAAGCCAAGGTCAACTCCCCCTGCATTCCTCTCGGAGCTCTCTAGCTCCTTTCTACAGTGCATGTCGCACTTCAAGGCTCTTTCAAGTAAGAGTCCATCATCTTCCTCCTTCCAGGAGGTCTCAAAGGAGTTTTGGGGATCTGGTATCAGTCTTACCCCCAAGAACTCTGTAGCTCTCAGCTGCTGGCTCTCCTTTCCTCGACTCTCCTTCCAGGAGTCTCCTCTGCAGTGCTGCATGTTGCTTCTGCTGCTCCTTCAGTTCAGGTCCTTATCTCTGGCTCTCTGCCACTGTTTCTCTGGTCAGCGTCGGCTGCTGCTCTGTGCCCATGGAGAAAACATCTCCCGGCATACTACAGGCACCTAGCCCAGCTTTATGCTGTTCCAGGTCCCTGCAGCCCCAGCCAGGGGCTGGGAGGGGCCAGAGGCCCCAAGGGGCTCAGAGCCCCTACCTCGTGGCTCTACAACATGGCCACCTCTCCTACAACAACCCAACTACAACTCTTCTTTTCCGGTCTGGTTGTGGTATGTTTACATTTCTGCAGGAGCGCCCATTGGGCAGAACTTCAAAACTTCCAGGGGTTTCCACCCCTTGGGGTCTACCACTTCTCTTAGCCTCTGGGGAAAACAAGGTTCAAACCACTACAGACTTCACATTCATTTGCTCTCTATAAACACAACATACGTACCTACATTTAAATGACAGAGTGAAACTTGATGAAATACAGAAACAATTTTATGTTCGGGTAAAGAGCAAGTCTTGAATGACTGGCATAAATTACTGAAGCTCATTTTCTGATTCATGGTTAACTAAGAAGGTATAGACACTAGGTATTTCAAATACCATTTTGCCACTGCAAGATGCAACCTGGATACTCACGGAGTTCTTTGACACAGTCATTGACCAGCTGCTGTTCCTTCTCTTCATACGTGATGGTTTCTGTCTTCAGATGGCAAGCCTTCAAGAAAATTTTTGCTTTATCAATAACAATTTCAGTTTATCTATAATGTTATAAATTTTTATTTCTAAAATTCTTGCAATGGAAGAATCTCCCCTCTAGCATCTGCTCACACTTCCAAATTGTTTTTTCCACCACAACCTGTTTCCCTGAATTTTATAGGTCTTTTGAGTGACAGACACACAGACACATTAACAAAACCTGATCTCTTGGCTCTAATAAAAAATTGTTGCAAAAAGATGTAATTTGGTAGGGAAAGTAAACCAAGACAGTAATCAGAAATAAGCAATTAAATTCACTTCAAAACTTCACAGAGGAAAAAAAAACTTGAAAACTGCATGATGTTAGCCAAATCTTTTATGGCACTGAAAAGCTCTTGGTAGAACAGCTTTTCTCCGTATTCCCCAGCTAGGCTGTTTGGAATGTAAGTTTTCTGGGCCAGAGACCAAATATCACAACATATCTAAACAATATCAAGCACACTAGGTTGCCACTTCCGTTTTGACTGTGAGGATGATAATATTAAACTCAGCACAGACAAGTCTTCCATATTCAGGACTTTGCCAGTAAGTGACTCACACCACAAAACTTAGTAAATGGTTTTAAAGATTATGTGAGCGAATAGCAGTACAGCCACACCAGTGCAGGCTAACACACTTCTTTACATAAAGCTGTCATAGGAAAATAAGTTAAAAAAGCAAATATAGGCTCACTATGATTGAGGCTATTTCAAATCAATGAAGGTTGTATTGTATCACAGAATGATAGCATGCTCTTTTCACTCAATTTTTTCACACTAAAGTAGATTAAATTAATCTGTGCCTGGTCTTGTGCAGGGTCAGGAGCACAATAAATGCAATTTGATTTTCTCTTTCTTATCCTACAGCACTACTAAACTATCCATCTTGTCTCAGGGAGTTTTAGGAAGAATGTGCATCTCGTGCTGAGTATTTTGGAGATAAAACAAGGGGAAAAGTATATTTTGTTGACATTAAAGGGATGTACTGCTGAATCAAGCTTACACTGGGAAAGGCTCAAATAAAAAGAAAACCCAAACCACCATACACAAAAAAAACCCAAATCCCACCCTTCTTACAAACAATACCTCCTTTCCTTAAAAGCAACAAAAGGACCCACTTTTAACCGATGTACCATTTTACAAGTTGCACTCTTCACTACCAAAGAAAAGACACTGCATCTGTAGATTCCAATTCTTGGAACCTTTGTTGTAGGCTCCAAGACTTTTATAGCTATTACTTTGTCTGGCCATTTAGTCTTTATCCTTTTAATGGCACAGCACCTGTATTCATGTTTTATACACAAGAGAAATCAGTTAAAATACAGAAATTAATCACACAGTGCAAACTAAGTGTGTCTTCAAAATATTTTAATTAGAAGCTTATTAACCCTTAAAATTAAATGTCATCTGATGAAAACATAATGGCAACAGAATGGCATTCCCAAAATACTCCTGCTAATTGTGGTCAGATTTATATCAAAACAAGTCACACGAGCCTGAGGGCCTGATGGGTCCAAATACTTTTGCTGGGTGCTTATATATGTTCCCATATTCTCTCACGTATCACAAATGCACTGAGAACGGACTACTGGAGAACTCTGGAGGTGCTGAGGAACGAAGGAAACAGAGGGATGTGGGCGTGGAGGGTATGATTTGTATACAAAACAGTCACCCTCCACTTCAAGAGAAACCCTGATGCTGGATTTTAACCACCTTGATTGGTTTCACACATGGCAGACACCGTAAGTCGGATGTACCTTCGACCGAAGAGCAAGGTTCTCCTCTTCCAGCTCTCGGAGTTTATCCTGCAAGACATCCAGCTGCAACGGGTCGTGTGGTACCGTGAAAGACTCGTTGAAACGGAGCGGTGTGGAACAGCTGGAATCCGTTTCGCTCTCCTCAGAAGCAATTGAAACAATACGCAGCAGGTCGTCCTTCTTTGACAGCTCGTGCTGCAGCTGGTTAACCTATGACAGATGGAGATCACCACCTCGTGAAATACACTTTAGATATACAATATTACTGGGTATTATTTATGCAGCCCTCTTGAACATCACTGCTCCAGTCTAAAATGAGATTAAAGACTAGCTCACATCTCTACTCATTTTACAGGAATTTCACAAAATCATCATTTTACCACTGCAAGGGAGACTGAAAATTCAAGATACCGCAGAAATGAACAACAGAACCTAGTTTTTAAATAGTTCAAAATTATTTTCCAGCTGCTTTGATACATGTCTTCATTTTAACATTCTAACTATCATTTTGATTATGACCATTATTCTGAACTGTCGAATTCCTCAAGAGAAGGACTGAGAAACAACTATTTACATGTATAGACTGGTACCCTCCAGTCTCCACATTAAATGAACCATAGGACAACCAAAAACAAAACCAAAAAGACAGATCTCATTTAGCTAAATTCCATTTTGCATATCTAAATTTTTATATGAATACGTAAGTTTATGCTGTCCTACAGCTGATTATGAGTACATTTTTGTTACCAGCATACTGTTTTATACAAACAGCTAAATCCATTCCACTACATTAGACTACATCTGTTGACCAAGGATTATTTGTAAACTATTTAATTCTTTTTTTTTAAGAAATGAAAACAAAAAAGTATTAGATCAAGAATTTGTGGTTATAGGAAAAGATGGATGAAGATCTTGATCAGAATTCACTTTTCATTACATTTTATTTATTAATTTGTTTACTCTCAGTGTAAACACCCCATTAAGCCAGTTCATTTTCTGGCTGTTTCCTCACTTGTGAAGTTGTTATGTAGCAGGTCATGTCAGATACAACCTCTTATTCTGACTTCTATTATAGATTCTTAGTTTAACGGTGGGAAGTCAGACTGATGGTCTGATATACCCTAATGATATCTAACATTCTCATAATTTCTCAGTAATTACAATATGCAGTCTTCATAGTCAGTTCCTGGACTGAGAAAGGTGATTGAGCAATGATGCTTAGAAAAATGACATTCAAGCATACTTTTGTAGTCTGAGAGCACCAATCATCTGCTTTCACAATTAAATAATCCATTTCTATTAATCCTCTTGCCACCATCATAAATAGAAAAAAAGAGAGAGTAAAAAAAGGGGAAAAATCCTAAATAAAGGGAAAAAAAACAAGAAAAAGCAATCACTTACTCTGTCTAGAGTTTGTCCTAACTGTTCTTCTAGGGCTTCATTCTGTTCCATCAACAGATGGTTTCGCTTAAGGAGGGCCTGTCCAATTCGAGCTGCCAGTTCCAGGTCTCGATCTTTCTGCTCACAAAATGAGAACAAATGTCTCCTTTCGATCATATGAGGTTTAAATTCAGAGTAGCTTTAGATTTTCCTAGCTATTGCTCAATGCATCACCACTCTGAGATCCCCCTTCACTCTCAAATGGATCAACACTGTTAGAACAATGATTAATGCTTCACCATTTGGGTCCAGAACACATCCATATCTGTGGTTTTTCATACAGCATATTCTCCTCCACAGACATTTGCAGCAAGAGGAAGAGGGGACAGCACCAAACCTGGGGACAGTTTTGGGTTTTGTGCTGAGTACTGAGCTCTGCTGAATCATACAAAGAAGCCACAATTACTTTTGTCTTTAAAGTGACACTTTCTCCAGAACAGACTGCTCACCTTGAATAGTGGTGAGAGAGCAAAAGCAGAAGAGCAACAGGAAACCAGAAGAAAGCCGCTTCTTTCTTATACTCATTGGCTCCATGGGTACCCACAGTTTTGTTAAATTTTGTTTCTGAGATGGCGCAAGCAAATGGGCAGCTTGTCATCACCCATGTGTTTGAAAAGCGGCTCTTGTAGATAACTGAACCAAAATTTCCAGTAGCTGAACAAAACCCTTCCTCAAATACCTGCCCTCAAATACACCAACACAGCACTACAGAGACAAGCTTACCTCAGCTAACAGACGTTTCACCATGTCAGCGTCACTATAGGTCTTCTGTTCTGCATTACCTGTGCCAAGAACTGAAGAGACAAACATGCTTACTGAAGCAGTTGAAATACAAGAAGACTGTGGGAAGGGGGAGAGCTAAACTCAGAGGATGTTTTTTATATACAAATACAGTACTAGGTTGATGAAACTAGCGGAGGCTGTGAAAATGCATCTTCTGCTTCAGAAATATAAAACAATACTCATTTGGGAAACTGATAAATGAGGTGTTGAACATCTACAGCTTTCAGCAATATTAACTAAGACCTGAGGTGCTCATACATCCTTCAAATTTAGGAAAAGGAGAAAAATCTAAAGATCAAGTTTTTGCATATAGCTAAGCAATTAAATCATCCAGCCTGCTGGGGAAAGGGGAACAATATATCGGAGCATATCTAAATATAGTTGAACACATAGTTTAGCCCTGAAACAAAATTCCCACTAGTGTGTGTGAGAGCTATACACAGGAAGTATGTAGACCCCAGGGATTAGTCATGAAAATGCATTTATTAAGGGCTTCACCATCTTGAAAACAATTAAAAAGAGATGAGATGATGTACATCTGCATTTCAGATATAGTAGTAAATCCTATCTTACTAGTTGAGTGACTTCAACATTTGAAGAATTTGTAAAACTATTAGAAAACTGAGAGCAAGCAGGATTTGAAAACCAGGATTGAGTGAAGAACAAACAAAGCATGAAGAATTTGCAACAACTTTGAACAAAACACAGTGCCAAAATGCAAAGCACTGGTCTGCTCTAGTTCATGTCCTGAGAAAGAAGACGGTAGTAACAAAGACACCTTAATTACCTTGTGCAAACTTGTGAGATCCATCCAAGGAGGAGGAAGGAAGTTCAATAAGAGCTAGAGTGACAGCAAATGAAAGATATGGGGGGAAAAGAGAACAAAGAGGAGAAAGAATTAAAATGTAAGGAAATAGGTGGGGTTTTTTGGCATGCATTTTCCACAACTAAAAATAAAAGCTGGGGCAAACATACTTTTTACACTATTAAAGCTTTCTTAGGCCTTTTAGGGAACCATTTAAATACGATTTCCTTCAGGAGCAGAATTATAAATCTCCCTTGCAAGTGATGGATGTTTGTACTTGTCCAAGTACAACAGAAATTTGCTATTTTTGCTTTATAGCATGAGGATCATGAAAATGAAGAAGGCAGCAGCATCTCCTTCAACTGAAGGTCTAAGTTAACATGTTTTGAAACTAATTCCATCATCACTGAACTGCAAAATAAGATTACTACGGATTTGGTCTAAGTATTTCCTTCACTCTTTTACCTTGTTTAAATCTCACTCATTTCACTCTGAATACACAGTGGTATTCTCAGTTCTTTTGTTTGTCCTTGCTGAGGACTGAATACTTAATTATGAGACAGTGAAGTGCCAAGCTAAAGTGTACACTAACTTTATTTACTTGTCTTATATAAGCAGACTTTGTACTTTACATACATAATGTCCACAATTAACCTTTTAAAGCATAACACTATGGCTATGCTAAGAACAAAACCAAGTTGCAAGAAAGAAACTTTCTTGCCATCTTGAAAGCCAGCAGGACAGAAAGAACAATACAGAAGAAAAAGGTTTACTGAACTGTTTCTCTAAGAGCTTAACAGAAAAGTAAATCAATGTAGCAAACCAAACACTTTTTATCCAGCAGATTAGTAGGCAAAAAACCCCAACGTGCTGTCCCAAGTATTTAGGAGCTTTTTTTTTTTTTTTACAGCATTGCTATGTACTAACTGTACTTCTAAGCAGGAAAAAAATAGAAACTCTCCACAAAATTTTAAATACATATCTATCAGTAGTATAACATGCATTTGGGAGGTCAGTTTTACTGTAGTGGTTGCTGAGAGGGGACTCCAAACTTATCTGGTTTACTAGTAATCTGAAAATTCACTGCAATACGTAAGTAATTTACAGCCATTACAGGCAGAATATTACAGCCAGCTCTCCTGGGGCAACTGTTCCTACCCAGTGATTTCAAGTTACAAGCTCCTATCCAGTCCCCTTAATAAAGATTTACAGTAATTCCATACAAGGTTATTCAGGTGGTTAGGTTCCTAAAATCAAAAGCAAATATCTTTACTCTGATAAATAAAATCACAGAACTAACAGCTTTGACACTTAGCTCTACATAACTTTTGTTATTTTCTCACAGTACAGGATCAAAATCATACACAGTTTGTTACAGTTTTCCCTTGTGAACACACACCCACATGCGATCACTCACCTTGCCAGGCGAAAGTTGCAAGCAACTCTTCATTTTGGTTAAAATTCTTGCTATGTTTTGCCATGTCCCTTTATTCACACACACAAAATAATTCTAAAGACAGAGCTTTTGTAATTCAGGGCTTCTTATGCTACCACAGTTGAAGCAGAAAATATTCTTCCACCTCACTGAAAACACTGCCACTGGGCACTCAACCGGTCATGGGATCAACCTAATATAGCAGCAGCAGCCATAAAAAGAGGAGGAGCTCAAGTGCAATAAACTCTTTTGCTATTTTACTTTTATTCCTCAACTAAAAATTCACTTGAACCATAATTTTAGCATTCTCTCTAGGAAAAAGTTGTAAAAACGTTTCCAAACATATATAGGGGTAGAAAGATATGCACATAAAACCCCATGTTATGCTTCAAGGGTATGACTTTCACATTTATTCCCAAAGCCAGGCAACAAAAAGAAAGATACAAATTTCACCTAACAAGCTATCCAACACTGATTATAACTAGATCTTGATTTATATTTGTATTTGTCTGGCATCACTCTCTCTGGGTGAAGTAGGAAGACACCGCTTTCTGCAGTACCTTGACCGCCAAACAGTACACGACCGGCTTCATGAAAACATTGCTGATAAAACCCCTCCCTCTCACTGCAGTTTGAAAATGCGAGCTCATGCTGACTGAAGGTCCTTCTCTCAGAGCCCTGTGTTCCATCACACAGGTGCTGACCAGGGAGCTTCAGCAGAGCTGCATTTGATGTCAAGTTCCATCTGATAGACTCTGATCCCATCTCTTTATAATTCAAACTTAGAGGCAAGTACACACCCCACTGATTACACAACTGCAAAATCATTCACTCGACTATAAAATCATTTATGCTTGCAATATTATTATCAGAAACAGACTGAGCAATAAGCATTAAGCAGCTTTCCAATTACTTTCCACAGTTAAGAGTTCCAAGCCTGCAAGTCCAACTCATAACAAGGTTGCTTTAAACTGTCGAGTACTGCACTCTTAGGAGGTAATATTTCAGTCTTACTCCTTTGCTCTGCACCCTGGATGGAAGCTTGAAGTACAAACAATAACAACAACAAGAACCACCACCATTTCAGAAAAACCTTTCAGAGGGGTGACATGTACAAGGAAGAGATAATCATTACAGATTTTATATAAATATCAAGTTCACTCTTCTACGTGGTTTGTTCCAATAGTTCCAATATATAGAGGAAACAGGACTTCCCCATTTCTCTGAAGTGATTACAATGCATTCTCCTCACATAAAAACACTTGAAACTACAGGCAAATAAATGTTTGGTTCTTTTGGCAGCCTTCTATACGTTTGATTTTCAATGTATTAAAGATTTCTTCATGTGATTGAAGCTGTCCATTTTCTTCTTTATGATTTGAGAGGTTTAGGAACAAGTTACAATTTTCAGAACGGGAAGGCAATGATCAACACTGATCTAGTACCCAACTACCTGGCATTTGTCCTTTTCTATCTCCAGAAGAAACCATTAACAGCATTTCACACACAACATCAATATAAAACATCAGAGCAAACATCGTCAAAAGAAACACCTTCCCGAAAACAGAGCTGCTGCATACTCCATACCTCTTGTATTACATCTATTCTAGCACAATTCTGGGCTCCTGCCTCTTTTTCACTATCACACGTTCCCACTCTTATATTGGTGTGAAATCTAATGATCAGGCAGCCTTGGGACTTGCTAAGTCAGCCCTTAGAATCGCAGTCCTGAACTATAAGCACTTCCCCTGAACTCAGCCTTCTCTTCCACCTGTCCAAAGTTTTCCGGATGTGAACACTTCCTAAGATTAGTATTACCTTTACATCCACATTTTTATCTTCAATATTTGGAAACTAATATCTTAGGCCCAGCTATACTCACTCATGTAACGGAAGGACTCCTCATCACGAGCCGGAGAAGTGATTTCCGGAAGGCGGCCATGGCAAGGACTGGACTGAATCCAGTCTTTATTTTCATACAGATACAGAGAGTCTACTCGTAACTTGTAATCTGGCAACTGTTCCTCCAGCATGCTCACCAGCTCTACCTCAGGAAGGTCCTCATTGGAGCAGACATCTGAAAGTGAGTAAATGGCAGCAATAGTACATTATTAAATACATATGATATTTAATACTATTGCTACAGTATTGTACATTTTATGTACCATAAAATACTTTATAAGTTTTCAGAATATTTGAAAATAATAATTCAGTATCAGAAAAAATTCCAAAATACTTATTGAATCAATATTTTATTTACACTGTAATATTTGCAAGTTACTCATCCCGAATTGACCCCACAATTTCCTGGAAGGCTGGTCTAGCCATGTGTCCCTCCAGTTTCCTGAATATGATGTATGTAAGGAGCTTCAGTTTCTATCTTTTCCTCTCCATTGAACTAAAACACAGACCTACATTTTACCAGCTATTGATTTTCTAAACTTTCATTGACTTTATCCTGGTTGTTACATTTCCCTTTTCTGAAGAAAACTCCAATTTTTCATTTTCTTCTGTTCTATGCATTTGTTTGATAATGAACATAGACATAAACAACCTTAAACAATCTTAGAGTAACTACAAAAATCAACTAAAGACTGTTTTGAAATCGGGGAACAAATATAAAATTCCATTATCATCCTTATCATCCATTATCATCACGCTCTAAGAAATACGATACTCAAAATGCTGGAAACGAAGTTTCACCCCTTCTGTGTTGTGTTGTGTGTGTGCCCCTTAATCTCTTCACAATTATTGCAACAATAAAGAACCATTAGTTCTAAGTTGCTAACATACTGCTTATCGAAGGTATATGATGATTACCTTTGCAACATTTCCACTAAAGATGAAGACTATCTTCAGTATCTTTCAGTGGAAAAAATGCCAATGTTGATTATTGACACTGAGAATTTTACAAACAGTATTTCGCAGGGCACGCTGACTTTATAAGCAAGTTAAATGGATTCACCACTTTTGTTCCTTTGCAATATCCCATAAGCAGCAGAAAGAATGTGAAGCATAAAGTTGTCTTCAGGTTGGTGCTTTATAACACATTAACACATTCAGGATTTGTTGCAGTATTTCTTCAACTTACCAGGGATGCTGTCCAAGCCCCTGGGAGCAAAACTCATGAGTCCTTCCTTCACAGTTCACTTCCTTGGAAAGAGCATTCTGTAGTCACATTGTGCACCACTCCTTTACTGCTTTGATAAAAAGACTGCTTTGGTTTAGAGTGAGAGCCATCAAGCCACAGAGACACTCACAAATCTGGCATCAACTCACTTCTGTAGGCTGGTTCATACTCCAGATTTACTGCCATCTTAGGACATGGTTATTCCACCTGGGCTATACTGAGCAGTAGAAGTTGCTACAGGATATTTCATGGGAGCTTCACCAGCTCCTCGGCTCAGCCATCATCTAAACATAAAACAAAGAGAATGCCAAAGTTTAATAGATTCCATTCTTTCAAAAGAGTAAACTAATGTGACTTCCTCTCTTTCAGTCTGAATTTCCCCTCTGTACTATAATTAACATTTTTTTATAAAACGTAAACAAACATTTTAATCCTCAGTTTACACAGTACATGTAAAATGTAGCACTAAAATATGTCTTCTCCCTGCAGACATAACATCTCCCCTTAAGCACTGACTTTGCCAATCACCTATTTGTCTACACCAATCCTCCTCTCTCATATAGTATTCAGTGTGTTCAGGTCATTCACTGAAATGAGGCATTTCCCTTTTATGCTAAAGGACAGCAGCTCCGACTAAACAGAGCTTTTCTTCAGGCTACTACATTTATATAAACAATGGATTCTAAAGGTAGGATTTCCAAACCACCATTCTGAGTACTTTGATTGTTAAAAAAAAAAAAAAGTTTCATAGAACTGTTTGATTTAAGCTCTTCCCCTTTAGGAGTCTGTTAATTAAAATTTGGACCTATCAGAAATTTACCTTGTAGATCATGACACAATTACTGTTTTCTCTACAGCACGGAGACATGTAAACCAGAAAATGCAACTATGAGTAATTCAGTTAACCTATCAGAACAGTTTACTAAAATGAAAATTCTGCTGTTCCCTTGCCGAGAGTAATTAATCACCTTCCATATAAAATACAAGAGTAGTTCCAGATGACAGAAAAATACAAAATTAAAGAGAAAAAATGTCTCGTTTTTCCCTCCTCCTACATTCAGTAAACATAAAATTCTCTTGAAAGTTTACATGAATTTAAAATTTGCTCTTAACATTTCCCCAAGATCTCTGATCATCAAGCACAACAATCAGAGGTTTGTCTGGCTGTCTGTAGCAACCTCTCATTTGACAAGATCAAAATGGACAGCACAGGAGCTTTTTAAAGCAAGCCTGGAGCCTGCTAGTTCATCTGCTTGTAGACTTTGGCAGGAGACCAAAAAAGAACTTTCTTCCATTAAGGTCAGCTCCTACTTGTGAGCAATGTCTTCTTATTTTGTCATTTATTTCTATATATATATACACTCTGTTTACAAGCTGTAATTATTATCCATATTAGACACTTAATAATACTTAAAACCAGAAAGACTGAGATTTCAGAAACATTTTCTATCTGAATGTATAGCTGCTCCCAGCACTTGTTTATGATTTTTTTTCTAGAGGCTGTTTTTTAATTGGATTGCTGAAAAGCATGAACTACACACACATCCTTCTCTAAAACAACTCAGTACAGTATAAAAAAAGACATGTAAGAAGACTGCTGCAGATACACAGATGCAAGATGAATTTATTTTGTGATATAAAGAGTCACTGTAATGCTAGATAAAGTTCAGCACCATTGGACAGTTTCTCCACAACTTTGAATCTTTTTCCTTTGAGATTTTAAAATGTAAAATTGTAAAAATGATTGCTGCTACTTCTCAAGATTGGATTTAATCTCTCTTCAAAGTGCAAAGCAAAAGCACTACTTGTTGCAGGTCAATCTCAGTTCAGTCAAAGGAGGGGAAAAAAAAAAAAAGAAAAAAGTCATTTGGCTTAAAGTTTTCTAGAGCATTAGGCCAACATCAAGCTATTGAATTGAAAGGGCAAACTCACTTGTAAAATCTTTGAGAAGTTTACTAGATAAGCAACCATCATAAAAGTTAATGCTTGCATTTTCAATGCTTCTCACAGCTCTAGTTTTCTGTACCATGGGGCAACTTCTGTAGAAATTCAACCAGCTAATGCACTGTGCAGTGCCACCCTGACAGCGACTCCATGACTCTTTTATGCTGCAGCTATAAAATTATTCCCTGACTGCAGATTCCTTCTGCAAGTTACAACTATAATTAAATACATTTTTATAAACCCCCATAAAATTTACAACATGGCTTTAAAATATATGACAATGCTATAAAAAGATGGACTAGAAATTAAAATTGTTATATCGTTCAGAGAGGCATGTCCAAAAGAGAAAACAGAAAACTTTATCAGGTCCTATTTGTAAATCTTTATAAATAAAGATTATTTCCACTGTCAATTTACTATACTCATTCTACACTGACCTACCTTATTAGTTTTGTCCCCCCACCTCCTCATATGCCAATTTCCCACTAATGTTTGAGTCTTTTACTACTTAAATTGAAGATGGAAAAACCAAGGGGAATTCAAACGTTGGAAAACAGCCCATGTGCAGGAGTGGTGCTCTCAGGAGGCTTTCTTCAAGGAAGGCTCAAGAGAGATGAAAATATCAGACAACATTTTATGTACATATCTACATACATACGTACATATCTATCTCAATCTGTGGATTTCTGTACTCTCTAAATTAAATCTTACTCCACAATGTGTGCTTCACATTTCAACTCTCACTTAACTTCAAGCAGTAAGTTCAAATCAGGAGCATGTACAGCATGCTTCTTGTAGAAGGGAGAACCAGCCCTATGCCTTTTGTAGCTGCCCCATAGAATTCAAGTTGCTCTGAGGCTTGCTAGCTCATCTGTGCATGGAAAATGGAAAAGAAACATAAAAAAAAAGGCAATCCCATTCATACCAAAAAGTTTTTTAAAAAGCATGGAGGGCTATCACTTATGACCCAAGCAACAGTCTTGCTGTTCACCAATGTTATAACAAGACCTGACAAAGTCCCAGTAAAAATTGTACAAAAATTAAAGCACAAACAACAAAAAAATAAGGGCTGCAAAAACATGTTAAAAACATTACAAGAAATACATCAATGGTCTACTCAAGAGTAAGACATCATTATGCATAGGTTAAAAAAAAGAAAAAAGTAAAATAATAGGCACATATGCCATTAAACCAATGAGATTTCAACACATGGTTTGATCTTAGTAACAAAGAGATAAAAATGAATTCTCCTGACCACATGACAGGAATTTTTGTTAATTTTTCCTTCAGTGAGTCAGAAGACCTTAGCCAAGATTAACTTGCAAAAGTAATACTAAGTAAAGCCTTAGAGAAAGAAAAAACAGCTATAAAGTAGTAAAAATTGTTCTTGTCTTTTGTAACTACTTGAATTGCTTTGAGCAATTCAAGATGGATGCAGAAAAACAGCTATGCCATCTCAATTCAGAATGTAATTCTGAAGACATTCTACCACTACAGAACTCTAATTCAAATCTGAATTATAAGAAAGGTTAGGCAGTCACTTTACAACTGAAAAGCATAGAAAAACGTGTTAATTTCTGTGCGCATAGAAAGTTAAAAACATACCCAAAATATTGGCATCTATATTGACAACATCCAAACTTAAAGACAAATATGCTATTATTCCTGTTTTCTATTTGTTGAGAGCAGCTGGCTCCTCACAAGTACTTGCAAAGACTAAACTAGATCTGCTCTGCACAATTCCAGGATGCAAGACATTAGGCCACAAGTAACACAAACAAAATTTTGACAACAAAGAAGACTCTAACTTGATTAAGAGAGAAGACAACATCCATTTTCCAAAAGGGAGCCAACTGAATGAGTTGGCATTATTCTGAGATGCCAGCTTTTACTGCTGTGTAAGTATGCAATTAAAAAAACCTGTATCAAGTCATTAACATAGTACTTTTTCCATTACTAAAATTGGAATGCTGTCAAGCCAGCTAATAACAATCAACATTTCAAGGTTAATGGAACAGTTCTATTATTACAGCAAACATGACCACACCAAATTGCTGCCAAAACATTCCTGGGACTAGTGCTCAGAAGCAGAGGCCAAATCCTTAACACCATCCAGCATGAGATGAAGGACAAAGGACTATCTACTAAAAAACAAATCTAAGTGAACACAAACTTTGCCTGTCACAATTAACACTTGCTGTTGCCTAACACCTGTTATTTTCAGTTAATACTGTCCCTACAGAAACCTACTTAGTGCTTATGTTTCTCTCATGTAAGGAAAAAAATTATTTAAAAGCATATGCCAACACAATCCTAGTAACAAGTTGTCATAATCATAAACAAACCTGCAACAGACCTTCAACCATAAATAGTAAGGTATAAGAAAGGAACAGCAAGAAAACAAAGCAAAAACAACGCCTCTTCCACAGCTCCTGGACTGTTTGTAATTTGGGGTGGGTACGGCTTCAGAGGGGAAGCTGGAGAACACCTCTGAGAGAGTGATGAATAGCAAGGGGATCATGAAGCTGGGCACAGTGTTCCCTCAACCTATATTATCCAGAGTTACACCAGGCCAGGCTCACTTATTCTCCTTGTCAGTCATTTTTATTAGTCCATATTCTCCAAAGAAGCAAAACTACCTGTTAATTACATGTATATATGCTTTATGTGTACATGAACACCACTGAACACCACAGTTAAGATTTACTTTTTTTCAAGTCCTACATGTTTGGAGTTTGTCTATACCACTCTTAGCACACAATGTAAAAATAGCAAACGCTTAAATGAAGTCTAACTTAATCTGAAACTATGAATGCTACCTACCTTAAAGACCCATATAAAGTTTTATTAATTTCTAATTCTTTTCTGTAAATGCACGATCAAAACATTACTATCTGTATACATTTTTTCTTGCAGGTTTTCTTTTTACAGAAGAAATTATGTACACACGTAGTGATGTTAGGATCACAGAGGAACCAAGAACTATCATGAATTGTGTATTTGTTGGTTAGAGTATAAAATGTGATAAATGCTTTTGAGGAAAGTGTTGTTAAAGATTGTAATCAGCTTCTTTTAAAACTGAAGCTTGTTCTCTATAGACCATACTTGATGGGAACTTGAATAGCATTTAATTGAAATCACTAATGCTTTCAGTTGATGCACGGCTGAGTTCGCCCAAGGAAGTTGTGTAAGTTCCTTAATATATACCCCAACCAGGGCTCAGCATTTTAAGTTATAATCCTTTATTTATTAGAATAAACCAGAGTGATCTATATGACTCAGTCACCAGAGTATTGCTATCAATCAAATCAGAAAAAAAGGATGTCTTCTGTTTTGTAGAGAAGGCATTTTTCTCAGTGAAAATGCTATGTTCGTGTCTTCTTGGAAAACAAATCCTGAAAGACAGCACTTCTACTGTACAATACTGGAAACCCACTTTTAGAGGCAAACCACAATCAGAAAAGTCTCTGATTTTCCAACACTCTTCAAATGACATTTTCAGATACTCAGAAATCTGATAAACTGATACAATTCTAATAGGTGACACTGTCATTACAGAGTTGAAAAAATTCACGTATTGGAAAATATTTTTTTTCAATTTAGCTTCACTGTTAGAAGTGTAATTAAAAAGAAGTCTGCCTATTTTTACTCAGAACTACATCTTTTAAAAGATAACAAGTATCTGAAAACAACCGTAAAAACAACTGCAGCCTTGCAATGTTGTGTGAAGTTATTTATTAGTATACTAAGTATTTGCATCAGACTCACGATCAGTCAACAATAACTGAAGCATAATCAAGATATAGGCACCTATGCAACAGCTGAAGAATGCATTAAAAAAACAAAAACATGAGCATGCCACTACTACACATGGCACTTCTCCGCTAGGGTGGTCGACAGAATAAATGACATTTTCTGACGTATATTCTTACTCCAGTTTAACCAGCTGACCAGAACGTAACAATGTGATTAACTAAAGTCCATAAAAGCTAAAATTTCCCTGCCCTCGATACGTAAGCAGGGCAACAACGGAGATGCCGCCGAGCGCTGCCTCCCAGGCGCGGTGACACGGACCCCGGTGACGGCACCCGGGCCGCTGAAGGTCACACCGGGCACCGCCGGCGGGCACCGCGACCCCCGCAGCCCGGCCGCCCACACCGCCCGGACGGAGCAAACGCAGCGCTGCGTTACATTACAGCATCACCACCGCCAAAAGACTCCTGTCAGCTGCCAACACAGAAAGGCACCGGAACTCCTTGTCCGCCCGGGACCGCGGGGCCGGCCCCGGACAGCGCCTCACGCTCGGGCACCGCGCCCCGACCGCGAGCAGCCGCAGGGAAGCCGCCGCACGCCCGCCGCACCTCACAGCCCAGGGGTGGCGCGGCTCGGCGGGGAGCGGCCCCGGGGCAGAGGAGGGAGGGTTGACCTGCAGGGGTCACCGCGCGGGGCACAGAGCGCGCCGCTCGCCCTCAGGCGGCACAGCCGCGCCGGGCCGGGCCGAGCGCTCACTCACCGCCCGCGCTGCGCTCCCTCCGGCGCCGCTCCTTCCCGCTGCAGCCCCGCGTGCCACCGAGCGGCGGCTGCGGAAGGGCCCCGATGGCTTCCGCTCGGCTCCCGCCCAGAACTACAGCCCCCGGCAGCCGCCGCCAGTGACGAGCCCACAATGCGCCGGGCCGCGTGGTGCGGGCAGTCCCCGCCCCCGGGCGGGCCGGGGGGCCGGGAGCGGGGCGGGGTCCGGGCGGGCGGTGCAGCCGTCGCGCCGGCCCCGGGCCTTGACCTCAGGCGGCGGCGGCGGCAGGAGCGGGTGTTGCTGCCCTGCAAGGCTCCGGCCGCGCCCTCAGCCGCGCTGCGGGGGGACCCGGGCGGGCCGGGGAGAGGGAGCGGCGCACGCTGGGCTCGGGAGGCGGCTGCGGGGAGCGGCGCGGGGTCGCCGCGCTGGCGGGAGCGCAGCCCCGTCCCGGCCGCCGCGGGAGGCCGGAGGGAGGCGGGGGCCCCACGAGGAAGGCAAGGTACGAGCTTAACGGAGCGAGTGAGGAGCCGCGGGGGAGCCTGCGGGGCGTCCTTCCGCACGTCCCGGTGCTCTGTCACGGACGGATCATTTCACACGACCGGGAGCTGCCTCAGCCGCTCCAAACGCTGCAGTACGAGCTGCAGATCAGCGTCAGCAGAGCCCGGGAACGCGAGTTCGCGGTACCGGGGCTTCGGGCTCCGGAGCCTCCACACTCCCCCGGCTCACGGGCACGGGTTTCTATGCTTCTTCCTGCCCTGCACTGCTGTCTGCATTTGAACCTTTGGCCAGGCTGGGATGAATGTGTCATTTTACCTGTGCAACATTGTCCCTCTCTACAGTACAAAAAAAAAAAAAAAGTCTGCGATACAGAAGGAAAAACGTAGAGACAGGGAAGAGGTTCATGTGGGGACATAATCTAAAACCGTATTGAAAAATGGAAGCAATGTTAAACTACATAAGAAAAACAAAAAATAAAAATCTTGAAATTGTAATGTTATTTGAATAAATGTGCATCGTGAACGATTCTGTTGGCTGGCTATATGCCTTTGAACTAAGTCTACAATAATTTGACTGTAGTATGTCGTAGTTATTAAGACTTTATTCTTCAGCTTAGCGTCTGTGGTTTCACGTTGCAAGCAGCAGAATAAATTGTCTTGTATAACAGAAAGAGGCATCTTCTTTCCAGATAGGACAAAGATGCTGTGGCCATTACAGTGCTGGCCAGTATCTTGAAGCACCTGCATTCTTTTTTTTTCCACTCTGCTACAGACTTCCTCAGTTAGGCAAGTTAAACCCTGATCATCTGAAGGTACCCCGTACCTACTAAGGATCTCCTTTCATCTCCATTTGGAATATTTAATAAAGAATTTCTTCAAGCAAATTTTTGGGGCAAAAATATTAAGGATTATGAGTGGCTTGGATATTTGGCAGTGAATGGAGTGGTGGGGGCTTGTTAGCTTTTCAAGAGTGTTGCCTTGATTAAGTAGCATGCATAATTTAAGTGCAGGCTATACTCAAGCTTAGCTCCTTAATAAACAAAATTATCAGTTTCTGATATAGTACTTCACCTTTTTAAAGTTAACTGTCATGCAAAAATTGCATGTTAACATGGAACTACATCCTATAGCTGACTTTTTATCAGCCACCAAGTAGGATTCCTAATGGGGGCTGGAAAGCTGCCCATCAGAAAAGGACTTGGGGGTGCTGTTTGACAGCTGGCTGAAGGTGAGCCAGCAGTGTGCCCAGATGGCCAAGGCCAATGGTACCTGGCTTGTATCAGCAATAGTCTGGGAGCAGGACCAGGGAAGTGACTGTCCCTCTGTACTTGGCACTGGTGAGGCGAGGCCACACCTCAAGTACTGTGTTCAGTTTTGAGCCCCTAACAAGAAGAAAGACATTGAGGCACTGGAGGGTGTCCAGAGAAGGGCAACGGAGCTGGTGAAGGGTCTACAGCACAAGTATTATAAAGAGTGGCTGAAGGAGTTGGAGTTGTTTAGCCTGGAGAAGAGGAAGCTGGGGGGGACCTTCTCACTCTCTAAAACTACCTGAACGGAGGTTGTAGTGAGGTGGGAGTTGGCCTCTTCTCCCAGATAACAAGCGATAGGATGACAGGAAATGGCCTCAAGTTGCACCAAAGGAGGTTTAGATTGGATCTTGGGAAAATTTTCTTCACTGAAAGGATTGTCAAGCATTGGAACAAGCTGCCCAGGGAAGTGGTAGAGTCATTGTCCCTAGTAGTGTTCAAAAACCATGTAGATGGGGTACTTGGGGACATGGTTTAGTGGTGGGCCTGGCATTACTGGGTTACTGGTTGGACTCTGTGATCTTTGAGGTCTTTTCCAACTTCAGTGATTTTACTGTTGAAGACTTGCTTATAGCTAAAGTAAATTAGCTTTGATACACTTGTTAGACATCTCTCTCACTGCCTAAGCTTTCAAAGCATCAGACATAAAATAAGTCAGCTGGAGGACTTTCAGAGTGGCTACTGAAATCTGTGAGGGAGTTTGCCTAAGTAAAGTGAAAATTATTGGAGTTGCTTCCCCTCCTTTTTTTTTTTTTAACTGAAATCCCTTACAATAGTATTTCCTCTCTTGCTTGTGAAATGTAAAGTGCAATAGCTTCTGCCTTGCTTTTTTTGTGAGCTAGTTCAGCTGCACACAGCTGAGATCTGACTAGCACAGCTGTGCGCCTTTGAAACAAGATTGATTCCTTTTCCTACAAACTGACAGGGATTAATGAATCCATTCTTTTTTACTTTCTGCACTTGTGCAGTTAACTTGCAATTCAATTGTTTGTTCAAAAGTGGCAATAAGATTTCTAAACCCATAAATTGAAAGGGAAAGCTTGAGTTGACATGTGTAGTCCTCAGTGAGGAGTTTGAAATTGATATGCTGCTTAAAGGCCCAATAGAAGCAGGCTTTCCAAGAGCTGGAGTTCTGGGGTTTGTGTGGGTGTTAACTTAGAGGAATGCCTCACAGTTGTGATTAAGGAAATTTATGTTTATCACTGGTTTATGTATTATCTTACATTGCTACCTTATTTTTTCTAGGATAAATGGATGTATATGACTTTTCCCCTGACCTAAAGCGGTTCCATGTCTTGTTTGGTAAGTTTCTCTTTAAAAATTTTGGCTGTTGTACCTTGTTACCCAGTTATAGCTTAATATGAAAAGTTCAGGTGAAATATCTTGGTTGAAGGGATTTCCACAACGCTGAGATGTTTAAACTTTGTTGTATCAATTTTGGTGAAGGAAACTGTTTAGTATCTCTTCTTCTTCCATGTATGTGTTTTATGCTGTTTCATCACCTCTTGCTTGACTGACTTGTAGCAGACTTTCTGAGCTCCTGCTTATAGGGGCTACTTTTTAATGTTTTCCCACTGCCATGTTTAATAAATTGCAGCAACTTCACAGACATTCACTTGTTTCTGTTCTCAAGGACTGTTCCTGTATTCTACGTACGCCAGTTGAATCAATCAGACCAGAAGAGCTATCTCAGAGCAGCATCCATGAATGCCTGGTAAGAAGAAAACAGAAAATTCAACTGCCAAGGTTAAATACATATTAAAAATAACCTCATTGGGGAGTATTTCTTAAACTGTTAACAGCAAAAATAACCAAAGTATTTCAGGGCTTCCACTTTGAAAGAAGGCTGTAGGTAACTAAGTGTTAATCTTGTGCCAGTTTAAAAACAAACACAGACACAAAAAAACCAGTAACTCATACAACTAAGTCTCAGTAATGGTAAAAGCATCGAATTGAATGTTCTGATTTAATACTTAGCATTAATGATATTTCTGCATTAAACATAAATTATTCAAAATTGCATAGTCATTTTGAGAACTGTTTTTTCGCACTGTTAGGCTGATTCTGATCTAGCCTGGATTCCCCCATCTACAGGAAGGAATGAAATGGTATTTTGCTCTTCTAATGTCTCTCATTATGAACTCCAGCTGGAAATAGGTAACATAAGTGTACCTTAAAATATTTCTTCTTCCTGTTAGCAATAGTTTATTGCTCACTGCAGTAAATATTAGATTTGGAAAATGTAGAACTACTCTTGTGTCTCCTTAGTTGAGAAAAGTGCCCAGAGCATTGCTCACGTTTCAGTAATCACTTATTTCAAGATATAAGACAAATCAACAATTACCTGAAATTTTCTCTTGATGTTTGTGCATGTGCATGTCAGTTTTCTAAATCTGTGGTACGTGACAATAAATACAGCATTAAGTACATCATATCTTGTGACTTGGCTACCCAAGGTGATTGTTCTAAGGAAAACTGCCTTGAATCCTACTGCACGTGCACGTTTCTGTGAATATGCATGTGTTGGTCATTTAGATGTATAAGTGATACTGACAAATGTTTAAAAACTTTTAGTTGTTCTCAAAATAGCAGAGCTATGCTTTAATTTGCTGCAACTAATTTTGCAACTAGTTCTTGACATTCTTTAAAGAAAAGGTCATGTTGCTATCAATTGTATTTTTAGAACTAGAAAATTATCTCTAAACGTGAAGGAAATTATGTGATGGATCATTATATTTTCCAATGTTAAGGTAGCCACTTCTGGTTTCAGGAAGGAGGTTCAACAATTTAACTTCAGTCTACCTTGCACGGCATACACCTACAGACATGCAAGTAGCTGTAAGGATCACAGACCTAGAAAATTGCTCTGAAGAGCATTTGAAAGCCTTACAGGTAAAGCAACAGCATTTCTGCACAAGTCTGATGGAGACAGTGATGAATACATATGAGGTTACTGAACAGAGGCAGCCTTTGTTTGTACTGGGTCATTTCAGTCAAGATTTTCCCCCAAAGGGATAGAATATAATAAACACAAGGCATGTGTAAATTTGAGAGGTGCTTTCTGAAGAAAACACAAGTGTTTTAGAAATACTTCTGTAATTGTACAACTTCTTATTTGAAACATGTTCTGTACTCTGTAGTTAACACCAAAAGTCTGGACTATGAACAAACTAGATTTACTTCAGACAAATGCAATTATGGGCAGGTTATTCACATTTCTGGTCCAGGCTACGCACATCACCTGCAATCTTGTATAAATGCACACAGGAAACTGTTCTTTCTGCTGATGTAGTTAATGCTCTTCATAAGACTGCTGTCTTGTGATTAACACATCCACTTTCATTTAATTCCATAGAATGAGGTGGTTTTATCCCACTTTTTCCAGCATCCCAACATAATGACGTTTTGGACAGTTTTTACAGCTGGTAGCTGGCTTTGGGTCATCTCCCCATTCATGGCCTATGGTAAGAACTGTTAACTGCAATTTTGGAATAGGAAAAAGGGCTAGTACAAGTTGGACCACATGGTCCAGGAGAGCTTTTTCTTTAAGCATCTCCTGTCTTGTAGAAAAAACAAACCTTCCCAAACCACTTGTTTAGAGAAGACTGCTTTACATAATCTTCCTCCCCAGTGAAGACTAGTATTGAAACTTCATTAAATTCCACTTAGTCCTAGCACTCACCACATGAGGAATGGTAACTGGGAGATGTATTTGACTTTATACAACTGATTTTTGCCAACAGAAAACCTATCTCTATTGAATAGAGGTTGGGCATAGACTTTCAGTTAACAGAAGCATGATGTGAGTGTGATCTTTGCCTGATAAATGCATCATTGCATCCATGTAATAACTGTTCTTGATGTACCGTAGTCAATATAAAGATGAGAATGCCACTCTTGATGAATGTATATAATGAAGCAAGCACAGACAAGTAATTTAACAAGACTTCTTGGGCTTAGCTAGATTTTTTTCACTTTCAGGTTCAGCTGGACGCCTGCTGAAGACTTACTTTCCCGAAGGAATGAGTGAAGCTTTGATAGGGAACATTCTGCTTGGTGCAATCAGAGGATTAAATTACATGCACCAGAATGGATATATTCACAGGTAGGAGAATGACAGTAGGTAAGAATCAGATTACAGCGTCTCAGCTTAAGTATTGTCTCCTTCCTTTTTCTATGTACCTTCTTGTGTCAGACAGCGCAGAAGTATTTTTTTTTCAGTACAGCAGAACCAACTTTGTAAAAGCTTAACAGGAGCTGTATTCATACATTATTTCAAGCCAGTTGTTACAGGGATAATACATCTGCCTGGCTTTGCCTCTTTGAAGTGGAAGAGAACCAGGGTTGTAGAACGGGCTTCCTTAGCTTACATCCTTTGCAGGGAAGAAGGGCCCTTCTCCAGTTTCTGGCGCTTTTTTTTCTGATCGTCTCTCCTCTCTCTTGGGACTGTATTAAAAAGACAACTCATACTGAGTGAAGGACTTCCATGAAAATAATCTGCTAAATAGAACTGCATGGTAACATCTCACTATAAGTTAATGAAATATGAAAGCCTTTGTACTCTAATAGTGCTTTGAGTAATTCTTATTTATGTTACAGGAATATTAAAGCTAGCCACATTTTGATTTCAGAGGATGGGCTGGTTTCTCTCTCTGGTCTAAACAACCTCTACAGTTTAGTTAACAATGGACAAAAGTCTAAGGTGGTATATGATTTCCCCCAGTTTAGTACATCCGTGCTTCCTTGGCTGAGTCCTGAACTACTGAGACAGGTTGGTATAACACTTCATTTTTCCTCTTCAACGTTAGTGGCAGTACTCAACTTCTAACTTAAGTCTGCTTGTAGAAGTGCCATGGAAGATGTTGAACTGAAATCTGTACTGAATTTTTAATTCTGCTAAAGAGAACCAGTTTTCAAGCTGTTAGTAAGGTGATGCTGTACTAAGTCTCTTTACTTGACCCTCCTGGAAACTACAACCATCAGACTCCTAACAAAACCTGAGGTTTCCCAATTTGATTGTTTCAAAACCGTGTAGATTACAGGGTATTAGAATCTTGTCTTGAAACAGACACTTGTATTTCTGTTGGCACCGCTCAGTGGCATCAGTGATCAGTAGTGTTTTCTTGCTGTCACAGGATTTGTCTGGGTATAACATGAAGTCTGACATTTACAGCGTGGGAATTACAGCGTGTGAATTAGCCAATGGACATGTTCCATTTCAGGATATGCCCCGCACTCAGGTATGATTCTAAACTCTTATTTCTACTTCAAAACATGCTGAGCATTTTTTTGGGTTTTACTCAGAGAAACCAATGCCATTACTGTTGAAGTAATGTGGCTGCTTTTTTTACTTCAAATATGCATGCTTCTTTCTAGAACAAATAATCCTTCCATTCCTGGAGTTTCACAGCTTGGCCTGAATAGCCCTTGTTGAACTCTCATACTGTTATTCCTTCCTACTAGATGCTGCTGCAAAAGCTGAAAGGTCCCACATACTATCCTTGGGATATAAATACCTTTCCCCGGGGGGAATCCAGGATGAAGAATTCCCGATCGGGGGTCGATTCTGGAATTGGTGAGAGCATGACACGCACAATGACCAGCGAAAGACTACAGATTCCCTTTTCCAAAACATTTTCACCTGCTTTCCACAACTTGGTAGAACTTTGCTTGCAACAGGACCCTGAGAAAAGGTAACCTTCTGGTGAAAACTAATTTTTTGTCACCTCAATCTAAGACCAAGGATAGCCCACAGTTTAGGATACAGTAATTGCTTGAATGCTGTTAAAGTCAGAATTTCAGACCAGATGTACTATGTAAAACAATTAACTTATGTTTGGTTTTGTAATTTAAGAATTATCTTGTCTGATAAAGGAACCATGCTTTAAAGTCATTTGACCCCTGAATTTCTTGTAATATGAATGTGCTTTGTAAAATGTAAAATTAATTTTCAAACATGCACTTTGTCTAAGAAAAAAGCAGAAATCTGAAATATCCATTTTCAATCCTATGTCTCTTTTGAATGAGGCATTAAATTCCTTGTTAAACAGAAATGTGAAAAAGCCTTTAAAAATAGATTTCTTCAGTAGTGCTTTTACTACAAATTGAGGCATAGAATGTAGGATTTGTGTGGTTCTTTTCTCATTCTTCACATTTGTCCCGTGGATGAAAAACCACAGGGCTTAAATTGACTTGTCAGTCTGGCCCATTTCCCAAAAGCAGTATTTTACTTTCCAAAACATAATTATATTGTTCATTTTATGATTCAGGCCTTCAGCAAGCAGTTTGCTTTCGCATACGTTCTTCAAACAGGTGAGTTTACTACATTTTGTAAAATGACACAGCTATAACCTAAATAAGCCACAGAAAGAGTTGGATTTCAAAAATAGTTAAGTTACCTGGAGCCAAAAAGCATCCTGTAACAGCATACCTGTTTCAGACTTCTTCTTTTTAACAAAATGGTATTGATAGAGTATAGGAGGCATAAGAATAATCCATTTCCCCTTTGGTAAAGCTGGTTTAACTAACGTCAGCCTAACTAATAAGAATAATGGTTAATATTCTTAATTTAAATCAGAACTGCAAAGCTAATTTAATTAGTCTTGAAAGACTAATTCAACTTACTCTAGAGTGAGGAAAGTGAAATCTCTCATCCTGTTATGTTCAGTATTGTAACATGCAAAAACATGGCTCTGATTTCACGTGCTTCTAATGAAGTCAGTTGCAAGGTTATGGAGACTTTTATATGCAGCCCTGTTTTAACTTTTTTTCTTTCTAGATAAAAGAACAAACACAGAATTCACTACTATCTCTATTGCCACCTCCTATTCAAAATAACAGATCAGAGTTCTTGGCACTGCCCTCAACAACAGTTGGGACTGGACTTGGACATATTACTGCAAATCAAGATGATACAGACTGGGAATTCTAAATAAATACCAAACAATCATACCTCTCCTGTGCTTCAGAGAAGGAAAATGTGATTTGTATTTGCTGCTTTAGTTTGTATGGTTAAAATAGACAAGGTATACTTGAACATGCCCTGAAGTGGCCGTATTTCATTAACTTCCTCTGCTGGCATCACGAAGTGCTGTGTGCCTCACTCTCTGACCGAAAGGAAAACTGTATATAGAGAATGGCTGAATGCTTACCTCTCTCTTTCAAAGTACTCCTTAACAAGAGAGTTCCTGCTGTAATCTTTCTCTGTACTGTATTTTCAGCTCATATTGCTGTGGTCCACTTGCCTTTCTGAATCCAGACTTGGGTATTGTCTGTGATCTTACTTAAACAATCTGTCTTTTCATTATGACTCAAATCATTTTAGCAAGGAGAAATCCTCCACTTCCAAGTTGAAATTTGAGACTGCACAAATTAGTTGATTATGTGAATAAATGTTTGTCTCCTAAAAGACATTTTTTCTCACTTGACATGCTGTCATATTTGCCAAAAGTTAGCTATGCATCATTTTTCATGCAGTTTTAACACTGCATGTTTCCCAAAGAAGTTAAGCTGCTTAAAAGTGTGACTCATGTTCTTGCATTTGTCTATATTCATACTACAGATTTGTGCTTTTGCATCTCCATTTATTGTTGTGTCATTCTAGCAGTTAATCTGAGGACTTCTTACTATGCAAAGTAAGTCTCAAGTTATAGCAGGTACGGGTTAATTTTGAAGAATCAAATAATCTAAAGTTACTGTACATATTTTTATTTATACTGTGTTCCTGTTCACCACCAGAATTTACCAGAACTTAATACTGTTGTTTTAAAAGAACAGGCAATATGCATTAAGCTTCACTGGCACTGCTGCTGGCAAACAAGCCTCTTCTGCAAGGCACAGTTAAATTCCCTTGGATAGAATCAGCCATAATAAGCACCTAATACCCCCAAGGATCCTAGTGAATTTATCTGTTCTAAGTCAGATGAAAAGCTGTCTTTTTTCTCCCTACAATTCAGTAAGTTCTCATCTCTCACACTGTACCAGGCAACTCAAACTGAACAAAAGCAGCTTTCTTTTTTTAAAAAAAGCTGCATATTCTCATCATGTTGTAGCAAAAGTCGTGTCCCAAAGCCACTAGTATTTTATTGATGGAAGTTATGACTGTATTAAAAAAAGCATAAATAGATATCGAATGGATATATTTTAAATTTTCAACATAAACAACATTCCACATTAAGTCTCCAAGTCTTCCATAGCTGAGTTGGTCTCTACCACTGTTTGCCAGCAGCTTTGCCTCAAGGCCTTGAAGGTGAAATGACCAATATGCAAAACTGAGAGAGACATAACATTCTAATTGACTACATAAAAGTATTAACAAAGAACTTGAGTCTATTCATTATGCTGTGAAGAGAGCTCTATATTTCTAAAACTAACATGTGAAACTTAAGATTAAAAACCTGTCAATAAACTTACCTTATCTGCCTCCATTTGTTTCTGTAATTATTGTACTTCCATTTTCACCACAGTCCAGTCATACAAACAGCCTCTCGTTACTGCAGGAAAGAAATTTCACATTTATTTCAATCATTAGGTAAAATAATGGTTGTCTAAACTAGAAAATTACTCTCATCATAAAAATATGAATAACTTAATTGTGTACTCTTGGAGAAGATATTATTTTTATATAAACACTATGTTCTTAATTCTTAACCATGACAAATTTGGACTGTTTGCAAGTCAAATACATTAGATAGCATCTACAAGTAACTTTTGACTAACAGTACATGTAAAAACCAAGTCAAATAATTGAGAACACACATAAAGTTGTACATATTTTAATTACAGACCTCTGAATAAATATTAATACTCTTAAAAAAACCCCAAACCTTTAAAAGACTTCAGGCAGCTTAACTGGCTAGTATTTGTAAGCTTCTCTGAAACAAGAGTGCTCCCAACTCTATAAAAATGAACTTGGGTACTAATAACAATGTCAGCACAAAGTGATTTAAACAACCATGTGTTCCAGTGGAGTTACTTTATTGCTGTCTCTTTCTATGAAAAAAAATGAAAAACTTATTTCTGAATGCTGTTCCAATTCTGTACTGACATAACTTTTAAAGAAAAAAATGAAGTACAATTTTTTTAAGTTAAAAAGCTCACAAGGCTTTACTCTTGGAACTATAGCTTGTCAACAACTACAGTATTTTCAAACAAAGGCAATTAAGAGGCACTGTGACTTCTAATAGCTCTTAAAATAACCAGAAATAGTAGAAATTAGTCCATGGGTTGTGTTTGCTGAAAGGTTTGATATGATTTTTCTTGTTAACTGTGATACTTTCTGTTAAGGAATAATGCAAAATAAATACTAGCATTAAAAAAAATGTGCAATCATATTGTTAAGAAGGTTTCAACTACCTGCCACTGAAAAGATTATCTTGGAAACAGTTTTACTGAAAAATCTGAAGGTTTTGCATACAGTTGGTGTTTTCAAAATCTGGGATTCATGATCTGTATTTCTAAGAGCCAAGCTGCAGAGACTTTCCACTCCAAGCTCACATAGTTTTAAGCACAATTATTTGTTTGTTTGTTTGTTTGTTTGTTTATTAGAGCACTTGTTTACTCTCACACCAATGATGTGTTATGAGCATATGAACTAGAACTATACTTGGACTTGAAATTTTCAAGAATCTCACATTTAGGCTCAATGTAACATATTTTCAAAGTATTAAAGTATAAAACTAACACATTTGCAATATCTCATGGGCAATGAAACAGAAGTTTATAGCCTTTTGAAATACTTGTGAAAACAACACAAGTGGGTTTTTTTGCTGCCACCTTTCTTTATGCTAGCATTTAACACTATGTAAAACATCGAAATACCTGTAATAATAGAAAACTTAGTTAACAGTGTCATGAATATATGCTCAGTGGTGTTGAGCATATATTCTCACTGTCTTAGTCTGATACCACAGCAGTTTGTGAATTTCTGACTGAATGGATTAACACTGAAAAAAAATGTGACTTACTCCAAATCAACCTGATCTGCTACACAACCTACTCACTTTAAAAAGTCTCAATGCAATAAATACCCACTGCAGAGAGAGCAATTTCTTCCACTTGATGAACAGAAATAAATATTTTTTTTAAGTTACCAAGTTTTACCTTATCTCTCTCTCTTTTCCCTTCCCCCCTCTTTTCTTCAAGTGCTATCAAAGCTGTTTTTAACCTAGAGGATGGGTAAAATCATGGGAAAGCATTTTCAAACGATTGTTCTGAATATCTCTGACAAGAGGCAGATACCTAAACATACCCTGCCTTTAATGCTAGTAAGTAGCTTTCCTAAAGTATATTAGGCTGTCTAATAAACCTCTAAAGCAATTAAGCTGGCTGTAATGACCTGTCCTGACGATGGCCATCCCTATCCTGTATGAATGAGGAAAAACTACTAAAATGCAGAAATAGTACACATCGAGAGAGAAAGACCTGAAAGGACTATGAGTAAGAACCCCATTTGATGTAATAGACAAGAAAAGACTTAAAGATTTAAAAAGAAAGCACTGAAAAATTGAGGTGGTCTACTAAAAACCTGCTAGCTGGATAACATTTGGTATTTAACATAATTAAACCTATCCAGAAACTTGAGACAGGATGAAGGAAAGAATATTAGGTTTAAACAGGTTCTCGTAAAAACCTCCATCATTCTCAAATGAAAACAACTAATTCTACTCTATAAATCATATATTTCTTATCCAAAAGTCCCATGAAGTTCCTGAAAAATGGAGTGGTGGTTTTATTTTTACATATTATTACAGAACACACCATTACTACTGGATTTACCCACAAATCCAGATTCACGGAATTCATTTGCCCCTTCATGAAATCCATCTGCAATAGAGGAGAATGGATTGCTGGCAGGATGTATATGCTTTCCTCTGTTTTGTCAAAATTTATATGACATATGGGTCAAGAGTGTCAATGCTGAGTTTATCTACTACATTTTTTTTTTTTAATTCTACGTTCTGATATCAATTATCTTTCTAGTTCTCACGTTTCATGCCATCAAAAATATCCTTACAGGCAGATTCCATTAGCCCATGTAAAATCTAGGAAGTCAGCTATAGATGAGTTTTCTTTAAATGCTTTAACAGTTTGAGGTAGCTGTTGGTCTGCAGTAGCTGGTGGAGCCGTCACAGACTGCACCACTGTTTGAGAGCTGTCTGTATCCATCTGAAAAGCCGTGCTCTCTTCCACTTTACTGTACACAGCACAGGAAAGCCTGAGCGAGGGAGGACCCTGCAACTTCCCAAGCTTGAAGAAAAGATTACAAAAAGTACGGAATTATTAAAGCAAGCAGTTTTGCTCGAGCGTGGGAACACAGGGGAGCTCGTTCTCCGTGCCCGAGCTTCCCGCTCGGATCGCAGCCCCTGGAAGGGGCCGCTTCCCTCAGGCCGAGTCCGACCCGGCGGCGCGCGGGGAGGGCGGGAGCGCTGCTGAGGGCTGAGGCGGAGCGGGGGCACGGGGGCACAGAACATTAACAGCACCCAGGGAAATACAGGCTTTCTGCAAGTGTCTGTGGACCTACGGACCGATTTCATGCACTGCCGCACGGAGGAATGCAAGAGCACCTTTCACACTGCTGTGAGGAAGAAGTAAGAGGCAAGTATGGCTTAGGCTTAGCTACAGTGATGTACCTGATGGTTTTCTCTCATCTCCCAAAGCCTTCAGTCATTTCAATTCTGCTGCAAATAAGCAAGCGAATAATTCTGACCTAACCATAAACTGCCTAAAGTTTACCTCAGCAATACCAAAATTACCTTAAAAAGACACTTTGCAAATTAACAACACCCAGCTGCTTATCGAGAAAGCTGCGTTGAGAGAGTAACATTTAAACCAAGTTGAAATGAACCAAATTTTAGGTAACTGTCTTTTAAAGGGCAAAATTAGAACACTTTGGCTTTGGAGGGCCCCTGGAGGCCCGCTGGGTCCAGCCTCTGGTGAGGCTGCTCAGGGCTTTGTCCACCCGAGTCCGGGACAGCCCCAGGGATGGAGCTCCCACAGCCCCTCCGTCCCCATCCCAAGCCCTCAGTCAAAACTCCCATGGCAGCTCGTGGTACATTTCCCTCATGCTGCCTGTGACCACTTCCACTCATCTTTTCACCGTGCAGCTTTAAGAAGTGTCTGTCTGTCTTATTTGTAATCATCCATTAGGTGGTTAAAGACAGCAACCAAGATTCCCCACTTAATATTCTTCTTTTTAGGCTAAACATACACTAGCAGCCGATTAAATACACTTTACCTGCTACTTTTCAGTTTACAGTACCATTTCTGATTGTGCAAGATGTTACAGCAGCAGGAATCTGATGGGAGGGAAAGCAAAGGTGTTTTTACAATACTGCCATAAATAAGGGGAAAAGTGTTTTTCCATAAACACCTGTTCAGACCTTGCATTTATACAAAATATTAGCACTGGGGAAAAATTAGACTGATTTATTTTAAACAGATTAAACAACTTGAAACAGGACAAAGTACAGTAATTTCTAACTAGTTTAGAGCAATTTTTTAATTGTTTCATATATGTAAAAACAAGAAATTGGCACCAACATATCCGTAATTTTTTCATTAACACAAATGCATTAAAAACAATGGTATGGAAATGCACAAAGGCATTTCAGTTAAGGCTTCTACAGATATTGCATGTTCTATAATTAAACATCTATTTCGTAAACTCATTCTAAAACTTCCCAAGAAACTAATCAAAAAAGCTCAGTTAGACTCATATTCCACTGTGAGGCTTAACAGAATGAAGAATATCTTGTACTATAGATAATTAGTCATCAAACTGTTTATTGTGCTTTTTATATGGCAACCTCAAACCTCATTAATTTAAATATGGATATATTCAGATCCTCCTCAAAAGATACACTGGAAAGGCAAGACTGGATTGAAATATTGATCACATTAAATTCATTAATTCAATCCATGCTCAACCATCTAAACAAACTACTGTATTTCCCAATGACAATGAATCTGGCTCTTGGCTAGCATCGCTCTGTCCAAGGGATACTTGGAAGGCCAATTCCTAATATTAATGTCAGAAATCAAGCAATGATGTTATCCAAGTTTTTCCTGTACTGACGTGATGCCTTAGCACCCTTTTGCCTGATTTTGCCCTTATTTTATGGGCAAAATTATATTTCTTACCATACCGAGATGACAGAAGTGTCATGCAGCAAAGAGAAGCCATTATTAATCCCATCTTCAGGAGGTCAGTGATTCTGTAACTCAAACACACCACATCAGGAGGAAGTGTGGTGGCAACCTACACGAGAACACTTTGTGCCTCATCCTCCATCTCCTACAGCCAAATCATGACAAGAACATCCAGTGCACGACTGAAGGAGAGCACACCCTGAATCTCTCCATCTTAATGAACAATGCAGTGCCAGCCATAATTTCAGTCTACAGTTTTGCAAAAAATACATACATAAGAGCCATAACAATTTACAAAAGCATTAAGGGCTCCTTCCCATAACAAACTGAGTGCCCCAGAACACAGCCAACAGCTGTGGAACATCTTTTAATTCTTGTAGAACTCTTTTCCCTCACTGCCAGGATTACCACAGCATTTAAATGATGTCATGAACACTGAACTCTTAACTTAAATTTGCTGGATGGACATAAGAGAATTCAAGCCCTCAAAAGGGCAGCAGCAGCCCTAGTTATTCATGTTACCATGTTTGTTTTGAAGCAACTCAGGTAACAGTAAAGAGAGTTAGCACTGAAAGCACAGAAAGCTCTTTGACATTTCCTTTCAAGTCTTTCATCTGGCTACTCTTAACTTCACTACTATAAAAAGTTCAGTAATTCTCCAGAGAACTTTGACAACTGCACCCCCTTTATAACCACCCATAGACATATATTAAATCAAATAATGCAGAATCAGTGTGCATTAAATAACATATACAAGTAGTTTTTGGGCTTTAGGTGATACTTTCTTGATAAATGGTTTTCAAACTAGCTGTTGTCTGTGTCTACTAAGGAGACTGTTTCATCCTTCAATACGTATTTATTCATATCTGCACTCCTTTCATTTTGCCATTTTAATATAAAAGAAAAAGAATGTTGGTTATCATCATCAAAACCCACCAACTGCCACTATTACTACTACATCACTGCACAGAAGGTGGGTTGCTGCAGAGTTTTTAGTTTGCTTTAATAATCATTTTCTTGTCATTTTAAGAAAAAGTTTCCCATTCCATCCTAACACAAAACGACAATTTGGGGGGAAATCAATCTCCATCAAAATAGGCAGAAGTATGAACATTTTCAACATCTGTGAAATTCAAGTTTCTTTAGCAAGAGCAGTGAATAAACTATTGTTCTTGCCATACAAGATAAGGAAAAATCAGAACACTCTTCTTGTGAATGGCTTTGTAATAGTTATGCATCCTGACTGGTGAGAAATTAGAGGCCATGGATGTATCCTGTTGGCAACACAAAACAACTGTTTGATTACAAGATGTATTTAGGTGTTTTCATTAACTGACCAAACTGTTGCAACATTAAAGCTTCTTTTTCTTGTCTCTAATCAACCTGAAAGAACTTGTTATCATCACGATCTTTGTCAAGAGAACTAAACGAAGATAAAAAAAAGTATCCTCTTTTATGGTTTATTAAACAAAATCCCTGTCAATTCAATCCTTTATTCTAGCAAATACTTTTTATGACACCCAAATGCAGATTATTTTATGCTTACCAACTTGGTGGATTTTATGTTTCCTAAGTCTGTTTTGTTATCATCTTCTCTTCCTTAGACTACTTTTGTCCTAAGATTTGTTTTTATCTCTAGAGGATATTTAACCAAGTCAGATAAGCTAACTGCTGTCAGCATTAGTAATAAAAGCAGGTTGTTGAAGAGTGTTACGACCTCAAAAAAGCACTGAACACCTGATCTTCTGCAACCCTCTAGTGTCTTTGGCTATGTAGGCAGCAATATTTACAAAATAAACCTTGACTTTTTGCACTAGGAATAATCTGCTTTGCAAAATAAAAAGCAAAAGTATAAAAGTTTTCCATCACATTTGGAAACTGTAACATGCATAAAAAGATCAACATTAAATATGTACAATACAAAAATACATTTTTTTCTTTATGAAAATTATAATACATAGCTATAATACACAACATGTTGTGCCATCAGTCACAGCTACAATAGTTGCAGGTTCTTGTTCCACACTTATGGCTGGACTCTGGGTATGACATCTCCCTGGGGAAATTCCTCAATTTCAGCATGAAACATCAATTCTAAATGAGAAAAAAAAAAAAATTCGTTTGCTTTGGAAACTTTCACCTGAATACAATTCCATTACTCTTGAAAAGCACGCTGGCATTCCCCCAAGCCTCCTGGTTTTTGTCTCAATCATATCATTAACGACTCAGCAATGGCAAGGGCCACCACTGTCCTTAGAAAACTACTGTTGCCCCCCAAAATTAACAGAACTGGTGACAATGTTAGCAGGTGATCATATGTAGTACCACCCTGCATTCAACCTGGACACTGAAACAGAACTCTGAAGTACACTGAGGGATTGCTTTGAGAGTGTCAGACTTAGGAAGGAAGATTTCTGTTTAGAGACTCGCTCACTTATAGATGAGTCTGCTCTGTGTTTCAGTGTTAAGTCAGCACCAGTAGAACCTGGCTCAGAAAGCATCCTGCATGACACTGCTCACAGCTGTCACCACGGCAGCTCAGCCATGGCAAACAACCCAAGGCCAGCAGTGAGGAGCTCCTGGTGCAGAAACTGGCTGGGCACACTAAGCAGCTGATGAAGCAGCCCCTGTGCAGCTCTGTGCTGCTGAGGGTTCTCTTATGTCTCTGTACTCCACACGTGTGCTTTGCCTTGCTACCTGCACATTCTTTGTATAGACCAGGCTGTGTCTGCCAACATCTGCCAACACGGTAAAGTTACACGGCCTGTACATGCAACAATGTGGTTTATCCCCTCAAGTTTGAGATTCACATATGTTTGCTACCCCATCCTTAGCAAACTAAACTTTCTCTACTGTTTGGGGTAAGTCCTAATGAATTTCTCTCTAGAAATTTCTGAAGCGCTTTTCCAATCTTACTAGGCACATGTAAACATCAGAAAAGTTCATCAAAACTTGAGTAAAATTCTGCCACTGGACTGTTTGAATAAGTATTATTTTAAAAATGGGTTTAAAATACAATTTAAACATCTATTATAAATTTTACCATCAAGGACTGTAAAGGCTGCCACTTAGTTATTCATGTTTTTTTAACTCATTGAGTTATTAGAAATAAGCACAGTAACTGGGGACAGGTGAAATACAGACACCTGTACATTAAAATTCTAAAGCAATTTCAGGAAGCATGTTCAGCCTTCAGTTTCCCAAAAACAAATCTGTGTTTTAATTCATGGTTCTTGGGATACCTTATCACTTTTAAGTCAAAACTTGGGATTTTTATGAACAGCATACCTTCAAGTCACAGGCTGCATGCGTTTGACAGGAAAGCTAAGTTATGATACACCTTTAGGATCCCAGTTGGAACACAAAAGGAAGAAGGCCTAGTCTTTAGCAAAGCTTCTTCTGTGAAAAGAACTTGCTTGCCCCTTCCTGCAGCCTGGACCAACACAAGTGGTCCTCTTTTGAAGTCCTGTTCTGCAAGCACGAATCTGACTTTTCAAAGCTTGGGAGTTCCCAAAACTACTGCAGTGTTCTACTGGAAATAATACTGAGCTTGAAACGCATTAAGCATTTGCAAAAGGAACATTAATAACATTAGGGAGTTTTCTAAAACACAAGTAGAATAAATACATTTCAAATATTTAAAATACTGTTAAACTTATTTTTCCCTTCAATGAAAAAGAGATGTGCTCTCATGTTTCAAAATTCATATTGCTTCAGACATGACAAATAAGGATTTTCTTTCCTTTTTAAATGAATGCTTATCCTTTATAAAACCAAACATGGACACCAGCATCCTAAGAAGCATTTGCTGTGGCAGGTTGCTAGGGGGTACTTATTTTCATTCAGTCACAAAATTTGTCAGGACTAGTCTTGAACACCAAATGCAGAGCACTTGGTTCAGCAGATAAAAGCTTGAATAAACAAGCTTTATTATAAAACAAGCTTTATTATGAACAATTTTGTGTATTAATGTTTCCTACCTTCACTGTGGTCTAGCTCTGGTCGGTAAGACAAGAAGATCCAACTTGTCCCAACTAGAACAGACACTACTAGATTCACCACAACCCATGAATGAACAATTTCTTCCTCTGTACCTGCAGTCCTGGGAAAA